AAGATGTCAAATAGTTACTTTCGGTCATGAAGACGAGCGAATTTGAGGTAATTGAATAGCTAAGAAAGATGCCGGCTCAGATTTCTTTGTTGGATCTCTTCAAGACTTTAGAAAGTCACAAAATGGTGCTTATGAAGCTTCTCAATGGGGTGCATGTCCCGGAAACAATTAATGAGGTATAATTGGAAGACTTTGTTGGCGCTATTCTTCTGAAGGATCAAATTGCCTTCTCTGATGAAGATTTCCCAATTGACGGGCGTTCCCACAATAAAGCCCTGTATATTGTCGTCAAATGCCGGGGCAAAGAGGTATCACGGGTGCTGATCGATAATGGTTCCGCACTTAATTTGTGTCCACTAAGCACACTGCATCGCTTGGGGATTAATGAGGAGCTCATCAAACCTTCTAAGGTAACCGTGCGCTCGTTTGATGGAATGAAGAAGGACGTTATTGGCGATATCGAGCTCGAAGTGAACATAGGCCCTGTGCCTTTCCTGATTGACTTCTAAGTAGTGGATATTCCAAGGACTTTCAATTTATTACTCAGAAGACCTTGGATTCATATGGCTGGCGCCATTCCTTCAAGTCTTCATCAGAAGGTCAGATTTGTCATTAATGGCAAGATGATCACCATACATGGGGAGACAGATTTTACCACCTACAAGGAGAGTGCAATATCATATGTCGAACTCGAAGTGAAAGAAGAATCAAGTTATCATTCCTTCGAAATGATTTCAATGGTGCAAATTCCTGCCGGTTGCATCATAAAATCCCCGGAGTTCTCAAAGTCATCCATTATGTTTGGAAGAATATTATGCCAATAAGGATTTACTCCCGGTAATGGTCTTGAATCAAAGTCTCAAGGAATCAAAGAACCTATCACTTCTCTTGCTACAAGAACGAAGCACAAAGTAGGATATATTCCAAATAACTCCAAAGATCACCATGGAGGCCAAGGCCAAGGTCGAAAGAACCATGGAGGCTGTAGAGGTCGAGGTGATCACCTCATTAATCCATCCATATGGAAGGGCAAAGCTAGAGAGCTTCCCTATCATCAGATCCACATCAAGGAAACTTTTCCTTGACCTCCAAGCTACTTCAAGAAGAAGACTTACATACAGAGGAAGAATCTGTTCTGCCAAGCTTATTCGAGGAGAATACCATCAACGTTATCATAACTGAGGCAGAAAATACCTACGCACTGGAGTAGGAAGATTCTCTTGAACTTTTTCTACAAGCTTTTCTTTCCATTGCATTTTGTTAATTGCAATTTCAAGTTTCTTGTGATTTCATTTGCAATTTCAATTCAACTGCAATTTACATTCCTTTTGATGTAGATGTAATCGTGTTTTTCAATTCAATAAAAGTGGTCAAATGTTTTGTTAAAGACATGTAGAAATAGAACCAAACCTATGATGAAGATTATCCTCATTCATGAGGCTTGAGGCTTTGGGTTTCTATATTGCTCCTCATTGCGAAAATGATTTTAAGAGCAAAGAAGTCTAATGATATGAGGACTAGCTCTGTCTTTATGTTCTTTCAAAACAAGTTTCAAAAGGAATTTCTAAAAAAGTTTTTCATAAGACCATGTGTGTTACTTACTTTGTATGTAATTACTAATCATGCTTGTTGCATGTCAGGCATGAGCATTCACACATCCATAATAGGTTCATATGTGACCCAAATCTCTCCGAGGAAATCACTTGCAATATTGAAATGGATAATGAAGATGAAGAATGAATTAGAAGAGAATGAATCCATCATGAAGAATCAAAGCCACTCACGTTGGAAAAAACGATTACTGTTAATCTGGGCGATAAAGAGAACCCCAAAGAGGTTAAGATTGGAGAAAGTCTTCCCTCAGCAGAGGCAGAACAAGTCTTCCCTCAAATTCACTTCTGATGTTGTGAATTTTTGCTCAAGGAATATCAAGATATATTCGCATGGTCTTATGTTGATATGCCAGGCCTTGATCCAAGCATAGTTGAACATGCTTTGCCAATTGATCTAAGTATTCCACTAAAGAAGCAAAAATTGAGGCGAACAAAGCCAGAATTGGCAAAGAAAATAGAAGAAGAAGTAATGAAATTACTCAAAGTCGGTTTTATCGAAGTAGTACCATATCCAGAATGGGTTGCCAACATAGTGCCCGTAATGAAGAAAGATGGTCGGGTACGGGTGTGCGTTGATTATCGTGACCTAAATAAAGCAAGCTCTAAGGATGATTTCCCGCTTCCACATATTGATGTATTAGTGGATAGCACTGCTGGGTTCGAAACATTTTCATTCATGGATGGCTTCTCAGGATATAATCAAATCCTCATGAAGAAAGAGGATAAAGCGAAAACATCTTTCATAACACCATGGGGCACATTTTGTTATAAGGTGATGCCTTTCGGTCTGAAAAATGCTGGTGCCACATATCAACGGGCAATGGTAACTCTGTTCCATGACATGATGCACAAAGAAATTGAGGTATATGTGGATGACATGATTGCAAAATTCAAACAAGGAGAAGATCATGTTGAGGTGCTTCACAAATTGTTCGAAAGACTTAGAAAGTACAAATTGCGGCTGAACCCCAATAAGTGTGTATTTGGGGCAAAATCTGGCAAACTGCTAGAATTTGTGATCAGTAACGGGGGAATCGAAATTGATCCTTCCAAGATCAAGGCAATATATGACTTAAAGACTCTTTCTACGGTAAAGGAAGTGAGAAGCTTGTTGGGACGATTAAACTACATTGCCCGTTTCATCTATCAGCTTTCCAAGACTGCTAAACCATTCTTCAAACTGTTGAAGAAAAATGCCAAAGTAAAATGGGATACAGAATGTCAACAAGCCTTTGACAAGATCAAAGAATATCTGGTATGCCCACCAGTGTTGGTACCACCAATTCTTGGAGTCCCGCTGATCTTATATTTGACGATTCACTATGCGTCGCTAGGAGCGGTGCTTGTACAAAGAAGATCAAATGATGGTAAAGAACAAGCCATTTATTATTCGAGTAAGAAATTCACAACATTAGAAGTGAATTACCCGGCAGTTGAGAAGACATGCATTGTATTGATTTGGGTATTATACAGATTAAGACAATACACCCTTCATCACCAAATCTTGCTAGTGACCGAGAATGATCCGATCAAATACCTTCTTGAGAAATCCTCCTTGGTCGGGAAATTAGCAAAGTGGTAAGTCTTGTTATCTGAGTTCGACATCAGAAGTTCATCCCAAAAGTCAGTCAAAGGATGAGCGATAGTAAACATGCTGGCAGAAAATTCGCAAAATATCGCCAGTTCTGAAGAACAACTTGATGATCATATATTGACATTAGTCAGCGACAAATGGACTATGTATTTTGATGGTGCAACCAACTTATCTGGATCAGGAACTGGGGTAGTACTGATCTCCCCAGAAGGCCAACACTATCCAGTATCCGCGAAATTGGCATTTCCATGCACCAATAACATCGCTGAATATGAAGCATGTATTCTCGGCTTACAATTAGCACTTTCAATGAGAGTAAAAAGGTTGCAAGTATATAGAGATTCTATGCTCATCATATTGCAAAAAACTGGTGAATGGCAAACTCGAGATGCCAAGCTGATTCCTTATCACAGATATTTAGAAGAGATAATAGAAAGTTTTGAAGAGGTAACATTTGATTATCTTCCAAGAGCTCAGAATCATTTTGCGGATGCTCTTGCAACTTTGTCATCCTTACTACAGGCTGAGGATGGTATGGATATAAAACCATTGAGAATCAATATTCTAGAACAACCAACTCATTATATGATGGTCCAAACAGAGTTCGACAACAAACCATGGTATCATGATAACAAAAGGTATCTTCAGTCAAGAGAATTTCCTGAAGAAAGCCGACCAGGTGACAGGAAGTTTATAAGGAAGATAGCCAACAAATTCTTTCTCAGTAGTCAAACCCTTTACAAGAAATCATTTGATTCAATCCTATTAAGATGTGTGGATGCTACAGAAGCTGAACAGATCATGAAAGAAATTCATGAAGGTGAATGTGGACCACACATGAATGGATATCTTTTAGCTCGAAAGATTATGAGATTGGGATATTATTGGATGACAATGGAATCAGATTGCATCCAACATGTGAGATGTTGCCATCAATGTCAGGTTTATGGAGATAAAATCAATGCACCGCCAAATGAGCTACATCAAATGTCTGAGTCATGGCCATTTTCAATGTGGGGCATTGATATGATTGGTCCAATCAACCCCAAGGCCTCAAATGGACACCAGTTCATCTTAGTTGCTATCGACTACTTCACTAAATGGATTGAAGCAAACTCCTACATAAATGTTACTGCCAAGAATATTGCAAGATTTATCAGGCGGGACATCATTGCTAGGTATGGAGTTCTAGAAGCAATAATTACGGATAATGGCTCAAATCTAAATAATAGGATCGTAGATGATTTACTCGAACATTTCCATGTTCGACATCTGAACTCATCTCCATAACGTCCACAAATGAATGGAGCAGTTGAAGCGGCAAATAAGAATATCAAGAAGATACCTGCCAAGACAGCCGAAAATTATTGTGATTGGCATGAAAGGTTGCCGTATGCTCTGATGGCATACCGAACTTCAATTCGAACATCAACTAGAGCAACCTCATTTTCCTTGGTTTATGGAATAGAAGTTGTGCTACCTGTTGAAGTAGAAATTCCTTCATTAAGGATACTATCCCAGTTAAAGCTTTCAGAAGCTGAGTGTTAGGGTGAGCGGTTCCAGATTCCGGGTAGGTTCCGCCTGGAACTTGGAACCTACCCTCGGGTACAGGTTCCTCAAAATGAGGAACCTGGAACCTACCCGTCGGAACCTGGAACCTGGAACCTACCCTGTCACAGGTTCCAAGGTCAGTTCCAGGTTCCTACAGGTTCTTTTATTTTATTTTATTTTTAGTTAATCAAAACGAAAATGAACATTCATAAAAAAGAATACAAAAGACAAATTATAGAAAAGTCACATTTTTTCTTAAAAGAAAGGTGATATCACGATAAATAGTAATTGTTGGGATGCAATACATATGACTTTAAATTCCAAGGTAAGATGCCACATTTTTCTCAATACATATCACCTTTCTCCCCATACATGCTGCAAAAGCACAAAAGCATAAGACCAAAAGCTTCTTCGGTATCCACTCCGGCATTAAATTTCTTCCTCCTTTAAACAACCACGAGGTCAAAGGCACGCACAAATAATTGGCAGAATCACAAATAACACGACCTTAGCTGCTCCTTCAAAGACAACCAAAGTATTAAGACAATCCATATCAATTTATTGGTAAAATAAAATAAGTATTAGAAAGCCTACCACATATATTCATTCCGCTTCAACTAGTAAACTCTATTTACTGACGATAATCTCCTCATTCAGACAATCCATATCTAAAAAAAAGAAAGATTAAATAAAATATTCACTTATTAGATATATAAAAAGAATTACAATATATAAAGATATAAACATCACTTACCCATCTCAAATTTTTCTGCATTTTCGATGCACTCTTCAACATCAATCGGCACACGAACGGCTCTCAACCAATCTTGAGTGCAAATCAAAGCTTCCACTACTTTGGGAGTCAAAGAACTTCGAAAGCCGTCAAGCACACGACCCGATGTACTAAAAGTCGACTCCGAAGCAACAGTAGTTACGGGAATAGACAAAACATCCCGAACCATCAAAGATAGGATTTTATATTTTGAGCCACTAGTCTTCCACCACATCAAAAGGTCAAGATCAAGAATATTTTCATTTTTTTCTTCAAGATATTGATCAAGCTCAGATTTGTTGTCATTGTACATTTGTTGGTTCGAGTGCATAAAGGTTTTTCGCCAAGCTTGGACGTCATACTTCTTGATCTTGCTACCTTCACTACCACCGGCATCGGCATTGGAACCACTACTACTAGCACTCAAACTTTGGGCACCAAAATTTCTATCACTTGAAGCAAGAGAAGATTGTTCATAAAATTCATATAAACGCTCCAATGCATCCTTCACCTTGTAATGCATCTCATTGACTTTCAATTCATCATCATAAATTTGTCCATACAAGAAATTCACATAACTCAACTTGGCTCTAGTATCCAACACAACCGCAATCAACACCAACATATTCACTTTATCCAAACTCCCATAGTATTTGTCAAATTTCTCTTTCATTTTCATACCCATAGCTTGAAGCTTAGGATCCGAAGCATCCGCCGCATCTTTCAAATTTTTATACAAAAGAGCTATCCCTTCAAAATAATCATTTGAAGTAACATATGAACTCCCCAACATCCGATTGGTGGCATCATAGAATATTTTTAGAAATTCCGAAAGAATAATGGCATTTTCTCAATCATCATCTTTAGGAAGATCATGGTTAAGCTCACTGGCAAAAGCTGAATCGTCTTCTTCCATCCTTTCAAAAGCTTTTCTAAATTTTATGGCGGTGTCTAACATGAGGAAAGTGGAGTTCCATCTAGTGGCAACATCAAGAATAACCGAACCCTTGTAAGTAATCTTTTCACCCTCAATGCAAGATTTAAATGTATTGGCTCTCATGGGAGAACTCCTCACATACCTAACCACGTTTCGTATACGTGCAATAGATTCCCGTACCGTAGTCAAGCCATCTCTAACAATCAAGTTTAATATATGAGCGGTGCACCTCATATGTAAAACACTACCATCTAAGATCAACAACTTTTCTCTTGAAAGTTTTTCCTTCAAATAACCAATTGCAACGTCATTCGAACTAGCATTATCCACGGTGATTGTGGATACCTTATTTTCTATTCCCCACTCGTTGATGCATTTCTCCACCATTCTCCCAATCTCCCTACCCTTGTGACTAGGCATCACCACAAAATTGATGATTCTTTTATGCAACTTCCAATTTTCATCAATAAAATGTGCAGTGAGACACAATTAATTCAGGTTTTGAATGGAAGTCCATGTATCGGTCGTGAGTGCGATCCTAGAATTTATCTTACCAAAGTAAGTCTTCAAACAAGTTCTTTCACAGAAATATAGCTTCATACAATCTTTAGCCACTGTAAAACGTAACAAATGTTTAAAGAGAGGTTGTAACTCGGTGACAAACTCGCGAAATCCAACACGCTCAACCAAGGAAAACGGTTGTTCATCAACTATGATGAACCGAGCAAGCATTTGCCTACAACGTTCTTGATTAAATGACCATGTCAATAAGACACTACCAGTACTAGAACCTCCCCCTGCCTTGTCAGCCAAGTCTACGTTACGCGGTGCAAAGAATTTCTGCCTCTTATCAACATTGCAAGGAAACTTCTTACATGTTTTCAAGTGCTTCCTCATTGCGGAAGTACCATGAGCAACATTGTACTTTAACTCAGACCCACAATGAATGCACTTCACCTTATATGTTTTTCCATCCCCATCTTTGATTCTTGCAAAATGATTCCAGCAATCGGATGTATATTTCTTATTAAGAGGAGGACGATGAGAACCAAGTACCTTGTTTGTTGCACTCGTGGTAGGGGATGGCTCTTCTTCATTTTCATCGCCCGACAATTCAAATTCTGTGTTCGGAGTCATCTCCTCACATCCATCAACCTCCATTGACATGTTATCTTGAATTCTTGATAGTTGATATGTCAATCAAACAACGCTGGCCAAGCAAACAACACGAGAACAGATTAGCACCGTCTTTAGCTAGTTTAGCATAGGGAGTGAGAGCTGGTAATCTTATTTAAGAGTTAACACTTGGATCTTGGTGAAGGTAGACCACTGTAAGAATAAATGCTCATTCCCAGGGTACTCTACCCACTGTACCTGCTAGATACATGGATGTGGCTCTTCATCCAATTTTATTTTCAGTAGAAAAGAGGCATTAAACGAGTTGTATTGTATGTATTACATGGACCCAGACAAATATTGTTGTCCATGTGCATCTGTTGTGCTTATATTTGAAAAAAATGTAACAAATTATGATGAGATAAATAGAGATCTTAGTTCGGCATGCCAGCATCATCCTTGCCAATTTTGCAATGCAGAGCTTTACACTTTGGAAGCAGACATGGGAATGGAATCAGAAGTTGGAGTTCCTTCTTACCCGCAACCCGATAAGGAATCGATCCGGAAGAGCTTAACTTGCCTTCAAGACCAACAGGGACATGCGGCACCAATGCGTAACCAATACCCAGGTAAATCTCATATAGCTTGTTTTGAATATTCATTACCGGTGGTCCATTAATTAACTGTCCTACATCTACAATAAAATGTACATGTGCTCATACTAAATACCCAGGTAAATCTCATATAGCTTGTTTGAACATATTCATTAGCCAGCTATAATTAATTCTCCCGAATGAAACAACACGACATTGCTTTCTATTCAAACAAAACTCAAGCTTTGTGCGGCAATTGACATCACAAGAATATTTCCAATGGTTCGGTGATCAAACATACAATCAACGAAATCACGGATCTGTGACAATGCACATTAGAGCATTTCCAGCACGCACTTCTCCACTGCAGTTAGCGTTAAGCAAGGACATAAACCAAATGAGCTGAGTATCAGAACAATCATCCCCAAGAAAATGCAACTGCCAAAAGTTTGATTGAAAATTAGAAAATTCAAGCGCTCGTTAAAGTTACCAATTGGAAAATAAGAGAAAGGTGACCAAGATAAAGACGATCTCGACTGCAAATTTTTCACACCCCCATAAATACAATCACCAAAAGTAGCAACAAAAGGAGCAAATCTCGAAGGCCCTTAAGATACGATCGCAATCGACAATTAACCAATCGGTTAACTCCCCCCTTCCCTCTCCTCACATTCAATCGGGGACATATCCACCGCATTTTCCCTCTCCTCACATTCACTAAGCGATGAATCCAGATGAATGTGCACGCAAGAGCACGATTTCACGCAACTCAGGCACGATCGTCGTGACTGAATTCAATCGATCGATGCAAAAGATGAACAGAAGCAATGGTGGGAATTCAAAGAGAGAAGACATGAATGGCAGGGGTTGTTCGAAGACGTTACGTACCAGAGCGACGGAACTTTAGAGGAGGAAGACGGTGGCGAGCCCAAATAATCGCAGTGAATCCGCGTGGGGAGATCACGAGACTGTGGCGAAGAAGGCGGAGCGAGGCGGAAGCGGGAGAGAACCGCGAAAGCGGGAGCGAGGAGCAAGGCGAAAGCAAGAAGCGGGAGCGAGGCAGAAGCGGGAGCGAGGCGGAAGTGGAAGCGGGAGCGAGGTGGAAGTGGAAGCAGGAGTGAGGAGCAAGGCAGAAGCGAAAGCGGGAGCAGCGCAGAAGTGGAAGCAGGAGGGACAAGATGGAGGGACAAGGTGAATTAGGGTTTCTAAATACCAAATGTGTAGTTTATGTTTTAATTTTTAGGGATCCGGTTCCTGGTCCCGGTTCTTGGTTCCGGTTCCAGGTTCCTGTTCCGGTTCCTATAGGAATCGGGAACTGGAACCGGAACAGCCGGTTCCTAAAAATGGGGAACCGAGAACCGGACCCTCTGTCCATGGAACCTGGAACCGAACCGGACCCACCGGGTCCGGTTCTCCGATTCTCCGGTTCTACCCTGGAACCGCGCTCACCCCTAGTTGAGTGGATTCAACAAAGGTATGAACAGCTCAACATGATCGATGAAAAAAGATTAAAAGCTATATGCCATGGACAAGCCTATCAAAAACGAGTGGCTAAATTCTTTAATCGAAAGGTGAAACCAAGGAATTTCAAAACAGAGGATTTAGCAGTGAAGAAAGTCATCGTGGAAAATTCACTCCGAATTATAAGGGTCCATATGTTGTCAAGAAGGTTCTTCCTGGAGGAGCATTGATTCTTGTAGATATGACAGGAACAGAACTGGTCTATCCTGTAAATGAAAATGCTGTCAAGATTTTTCTACCCATGAAATGAAGACGAACATTCAAGAAAGGATTCGAGTCATTTTAGAACATGTGCATATCATGCATTTCATGAATATGTTTATCTGTTTTACAGAAGAAAGCAAAAAGAATCCGAATCAGTCGACAATTTCAGAATTCCCAATGGAGTTATCAAATAGTAGAGGGAAGTATCACTTCTAATTTTATTTTCCATTGATATCCTTTAATGTGCTTTTCTTTTCATCATCCCCAAGGAAACAAAGGAAAAGGGGCAACCACAGAAGAATCCCCAGTGTAGCCAAAACATGCAAACAAGAGGGATCTTGATAAATCAATCAGACAGGTATCCCTAAATCATGAGGACATGTGCTAAAGAGGTTGCTTTTTTAAGAGAAAAATCAAACCTTTTCTTCCCCAAGCGGAATGACATTAAGGCTAAGCAAAGGAAAATAGTTCAGAAATGTTTCAATCAAAGATTTTGAAACACGCTTTCTTTGAAAATGCAATAAGCATCAAAATTCCCTAAAAGGGATAATTTGACAAAAGGCTTTGAAAAATTTCATAGAAAAAGTTTGGTACAAATCAAATGGAAAGACCTTCAAATGATGAAAGGTAAGCCATATCCAAACACGTCCCTTATACACTCAAAGTCAAAGTGTTGAAGTGAGTGAGAAAAACTCATCCGAAGGAAATAAGGGATATTCACAATGATTACATGGATTGAAATGATGAAAGGCAATCATTTCACTATCCCAAACACATGCTTATCCCTTGCAAACCAAATTTGAGCCAAAACAGTGGAGAAGTTTCCCCAAAACAACCCTGTTAAGAACCACCCCACATTGAAGCAAATTAGGAGGTTTGCGGATTGACAACTATGAAGAATAAGATCAAGAAAAATTTTATTGCATACGCTTGTATTAATCTTTTTGTGATAACTTCATATGAAGTCATATGGAAGTTCAAAACATCCCAAGAGGAAGAAAAGCACTTCATTTCTTATACCCAAACACATTACCTTTGACAAAGCCCAATTGAGCCTGAATATTCATTTCAGAACCCTAAATTGGTGATCATCTCTTTGCACTAGAGCATGAACATATGATCCACCTGGAATAAATAAGAAACGAAAGGCATAACACAGGGTCCTTAGAACTCAAAAAGAGAGATCAAAGGCAAAAGAATTAGAGGCATGAAAAAGTAGTGTGCCTGGTAAAAGCAATGCCAATGTCCAGAAAAATTAGCAAAAAAAAAAGAAAAGAAAAACATTCAAAAGAAAGAATGACAAAAGTTAAGCCAAAAGCAAAGCAAAAGTTGTGAAAAATCAAAAGTCACAAACCTTTGTATGGTTTTTAGTTGACCAAAAATTATTTTAAAAAGTAGTTTTGAAATTAATCAAAAACTGTT